TTATTTCAAATCTGTGCCTAATACTCATTTGCTTCTGTAAGATGCTGTAAGGGCCTTAAAGCTGGAAATCTAAATCAGAAAAATCTATTTCTAGGCAATGAAGAAGCCTAAATACAAGCTGTCAAAAACTCCCTCAGTTCAGTGAGACCGATTGCATGCTGCTTCAAAAAACCTTTCTGGAAAATGTATATACAGTATCAATAGTTTTGTCACCCTTTCACTGAATAGCATATTGAAGAACTTTCCTTAATATACCATGCACAATGACATAAGTCCAATTAAAAAATGCCTGTTTAGAGTTTGGAAAACAAGATAGATCTTTAACTCAAGGTCAACAATTCACAAACTCACCTGACAGGTCTTACTTTTATTTGTAGGCTATTCTTACTAAAGGATCATGGTTCACTACAACACAGGCCATAACACTTGCCAAGATGATTATCTGCTTCTTCACTGAGTACCCTGTTGTGTGAATGCAAGTATTGTATAACATTTATTTGCTATGGTGACATAAGTATAACAAATACGGTTCTGTCTTTATGTTCCACCTCTTTTTCCTCCAACCAGATTGGCATTGACATCAACAATGGTTCTGTTTACTGAAACTTCTGGATGGAGTGATGAACAAGGTACCATTGTGAACAAGCCATCAGGCAGCTGAAGCAGTGCTGTGATTTTTAAGCCCACAAGCCCCTATGGGGTCCTTCCCAAAATTTTATACTTTGCACACAGAAGTTGGGCTACCTAGCCCAGCATTTTTGTCTCTGACAGTGGTCAGTACCAGATACTTAAGAGTAAGAAACAAAAAGAGCCTCATAATGGACAGGTTATGTCCTTGAAGTATGACTGTTTACATCCCTTAAAATTTCTTTTTCCAGCCCACTGGAACTGCATATCTTGTTATTCTTCATATTATTACTTGGAGCAATGGTCAAAAAAGTAATGTCTGTCCTATAAATGCCTAATCCATTTTGGACTCCTGCTAAGTTGCTGGCCTGAATTCCTGACCCCCCTACTTGAATTAGACTCCATAATGGCTCTGCAGCCTTGGCACTGACCAGGACAAGGCCCAGACCACAGGAGATGAGCACTGGGAGGTAAGTCACTTTTTTTTTTTTTTTTTTTTTTTTGTAGCTGTTTTTCTGTTGGGTTGTGCATATTCGACAGTCCCAAAGGCTTTGCTGAGGCTGGGACAGCTGCAGCCTTGAACCTAGCTTTGACTGGAGGGTCCCATTTGTGTTTTCCTATACTACACTAGTGAAAACACGGATGATATTCCAGAAGTAGAATATGTCCTTATCTCTTAGTTAAATGAATGCCTATTTGTCTCTGCTTTCTCCATGCAGCATGATAAGTGTAATGATTTAATATAAGGAAGCTGGTGCTGGCTGGGTCTCTTGATGCAGGCTTTATCAGGAACAACTTACAGTGGAAATTTGAAGCAGCTTGAGCCCAGTTATGCTCAGTTGCACCCATTTAAAAGCATAGTGGGTTCATTTTGTTGACCAAAAACTCCTTCACATCTAGTGCAACTATGGGCAATCATGACTCATGTAACACCAAGAGTAAATTTTTTTCCTTTGCAAATATCCAAACCAATTGGATCTACTACTCTCAAGCAACTACCTAACTTACTTTGAAAACATTTTGGGGGGAAAAAGGGAGGTCCCTTTTTGGTCTGCCTGAATAATGTACATAAACTGCAAGTTTCTTCTCTTTTTGGCTATGGTAGGAAATACCTCAGGTAAAATGAAAATTCTATGCATATCAATATTTTCTTTCATACTGCAACAGAAAGAAGAATGGATGACTGAATTCTTCCAAGCCAAGTGGCAGCAACTCAATATTAAGGCAGTCCCCTTGTTTCAACTTTCAAAAGATGCTCTCAGTTTTCATAGACACAAACTTATCTCAGAACCCCACTACCAAATAAACACTTGCTCCTATTACAGAACATTAAGTCAAATGTAAAAGCCTAAACCAAGAGAAGGTAGCATAACAAACAGAAAAATACCGGAGGCAAACAGACTCCAAGCACACAGAAATATGCACCAACTCAGCAGTCAGCCATTCCTTCTTCTAGTAACTAACATTATCTACTAGCTAATAAGTTATATAGGAAATGATGATGGTCTAATTCTTCTTTTTTTTTTTTTTAAATAAGCTTGTGAAAACTTGATCTAATTAATAATAGAAAACCAAACCAGTTTTATAACAAAACTGCTGATTTATTAAAAACTGGGACTGGTTTAAAAATAATCCTTCCCATAAGGTTCTTGTTAGCTTTAAAATGTAAGCATAAAAATACCCTCAAATTATCTTTTGGTATGGATGAAATCTACATTATAATACATAAAAAGAACCCCGACTTTCTGCTATTATATTTAATTAGCTTCTCTAGCAAGAACGGCTTTACCTTCCAACACCAGTTCAGAATTGGAGAGGTAGAAGGGCTTGAATCTCCAAACTCATGGGACTGGCAATTCCGCTGCTCATGCCTTGGAGCACTAATGCATTTTACATTAGCTCTAAGCATCAGGAAATCCTGGCTTCTGGCGCCAAGAAGTTCAAAACGGTAATGATACACGTCTGAAAACTGGGATTCACTGTCCAACTGCCGGTGTCTATTCTATCAAACAACCCAGTCTCTCTGTGTTGCAAATGCGACAGAACAGTTGCAACAGTACATGCTGTTTCCAATTAGGTTGTCTCCTTGTATCACAGATAATTCCATGGCGATAATAGCAAAAAAGCACTCCCAGAAACAGAATTCTAATTGGAAATCTCAGCTTATTTATCTGGGCTCTGCACAAGGTTAGGTACCAAGTTTTGCTATTTGTATTTGCCCTTTTCATTTAAGTGGGCCTCTAAGCTTAAATGCCTTGCAGTTGGTTACAAGGAAGTTCTACAAATATTTATTTTTATTTTAAAAACATACTCAATGTATTTTACCATTCATTTTAGCTGGAGGAAAATCAGATTTAAAAAAAAAAAAATCTTACAAATACATATCTTTAAAGACGAGCTTGAAATTCAATGTTCAAGAGGTTGGCAGTCTACCATAGTATTAGCTCATGGATGGCCAAACTTTCCTTAACCGAGGGCCTCATTGGCAAACCAACAGTATCTTGCTGGAGCTACTCTTATTTTACTGAAAACAATGCAGACTGCAACCTGCTTCTTTAGCAGAACTGTACAGCCTCTGGGGACTATGTATCCCTATAACGCTACATCTAGATCCTGGCTGATCAAGGTTAGTGCATGCTGGAACCTGTCAACCCTATTAACTACACCTTTATATTGAAAGTGAAGGGCAGCTGCAAGCCACACATTACAGTTCCAAAGAGCTGCATTTAACTCACCTACCTCTCCTTCCACTTCTCTAACACAAGCGTGCTTCAATAAGCAAGCTATGTATTTAAAAGTAAATAAGCAACATGACGTCAGATGGTCTACTAGAAGGAATTTCATTTTTTTTTAAAATACATTTTTAAAGATGGCACCCATTATTAAGAGCAATTATGCAAACTAATCTTAGCAGGGTCATGCTTTGGAAGCTGTTTAAGTTTCAATCCATACTGGGAATACCTGTCCAGTCAAAATGTAAGGAAGAGGTTGGCACAGAAATGTGATGCTCCTTAAAGAGCAGCATCAACCCCCCGACATGCAAAACTTCAGGTGTGAAGGTATACAGCAGGCTGAAGGAAATTAAAAAGAACAAGCTTTCTAAAAGATTCTGCTTTTTCTCTAAGGTTTCGCTTAGCAATTCTCTTTTGCTTCTCAGTGCATGATTTTAGATAAACAAGATTAGATCACCTCCCTGTCCAACATACTATCTTATCTTCTGATCCCTTTTAGGTATGGAAAACAAACCAACTCCACATATTGTATTGAGCCAACTATGAAAACATGGAGGAGGAAAGAATTCTTTTTCTGACCCTTACATAAAGTTGTTGGGAGCTATTCACACTTTATATATGTATTTACTAAAGCTATTAATAGTTGAAACAATCCTGTTCCTTTGAAGAATTAATTCAACCACAGTGCTGGGCACATTTTGATAATTTCTAATGGAACTGAATTCTGTAGGTTGATCATTTAGCATGCGAAACCTTTACTTTTATTGGAGACACACCATCCATACCCATCTATCATAATTAGGCATATGTATTCCACACACAATACAGCATTTCTTAAACCCTACAAAAGCCATAGATGATGGAAATGGAATCCTGTTCTCTGAAATGGGAGCATTCCAATTTGACCTTGGGAGAGAAGTCAGTCCAGAGATGCAAGCTGGAACAGCTTGCTAAAATTCAGAGGAAGAGAGGTTGTTGATTAGAAGGTCAATTAAAGGAAACATCTCCCATACATCCAGAAATCACCCAATCAAGCCAAAAAGCAGACATATTTCACTCCTTAGTCAGATTTTCAAAGGAAATACCATCAGTACTCAAGCTGGGAGTTTGCTGGGAAGATTTTTAAAAAATAATAAAATAAATCAGGAAATAATATTGGCAGCTGAGAAACATATATTTTAACAGTGTAAGAATACTGGAAATAATTCTGCTAGTTAATCAAAATCCCAAGTGTCTATTTAGACATTTCCAAACAATAATGCCTGAATAATGTTTGAATAATTGTCTGAACATGCAATTAGTTGTGTGTTCTAGTTTTCTATTCTATTTTATTGCCTTTGGAATGCTATCAAAAACATTCTGCGTACGTTAATGTGTTAAAAAACAAGTCTAGTTCAAATGGCAGACTAGATTTTCCAGCATGAAGAAACACCATGAATTTTTATAGCAGTTTTATGGAAATCATATTTCTCAATATAAATCACTCACCTAAGTATACTTTTAGAATGTAAGCCTATTAAAGCTTATAGCAGAAAAAAAAGATTATTAGGAGTTGAAAAATGCAAATTAAGCAGCAACAAAAAAAAAAAACAGAATTAGCAACATCCTGATTATGTAAACACTTTCCGAAAAGTGATTTACCCGCTGGAGAAGGGATGTTGCCCAACTAGATCTCCATTCTGAAGATGATAATCACTGAAAAAATCTGGACTCACTGCTCCATCAGGGGGCACCAGGCCATCTAGAAAGAGAACACAGACACTGAAGTTAAAAGCAAGATGTGTTTTAGAGGTAAGAGAAAAGTGGGTAACAGGTGCTGCTTTATCTTAGGCACTCTCCATATAGTGCTCTGCATTAGTATAGGGATCAATGACAAGGCCACCTTCAGATAGAAATAGAGGCTTGCTGAGGCCCTCACCAGACTCAGCAATTTATAGCCCAATACCCCTCCCCTGTAATGAGTCACAAATGTGAGCCAAGTTTCTCACACCTTTGCCAGCAGGAGAAACAGTGACAGACAAGGCCTGATCCCATTCCTGTTCACTCCATCACAGCACCAAAACCAATGAAACTAAAAGAGGCAACCATTAACCTCCAGGTTGGTGGAATAAAATGAAACAGCAACAAAAGACTTGATTCTTCAGCCTGTACACTGTTACCACTGTCTTAAGCTAATTAAACCAAGAGAAGGCAACTTCACAATCTTGTTTTCCCCATCTTCCTGGAAGTTTAACATCTTGTAAGGTTAGCCTAGGTAGAAAATAGTTTTCATGATAGGCTCATGGGCAGCTTGAGGAAATGGACACAGTAATTTAGCTTAAACTAATTTTCCTTTGTTACTTTTACATTCACCACTCACATAAGTAGGTGCATATATCTGTAAAGTTACCAGGATCCCTTAAAGGAATTATGGTCTTATTTGGTTAACAGGAGAGATCAGGAATTCATGAGCTTAACTCTCATCTGTGTTACACTAATGTAAATCTAAAGTAACTCCACTGAAGAAAGGACCTAAGCTCCAGATTTTTTTCAGTGTAATGATAGCACAGTTTAGCTCCATCTGTATTCATATATTCATGGCATATTAGTTGTTAATAAGGGAACAATTGACTTGGTAAAAATTGCCAGTCTTTATTAGATAAAATAACGATACTTATGCTAAACTATGTAATAATAAAACCTAACTAAAGAAATGTTTTGAAGTCCTCCTTGGTTTCTAGAGGAGAGGATATACCAATTTAAAAAAAAAAGGGCAGAACAGATGCCTTCTGACAGATACTTTAATAGTTTAACAGAAGATAGAAAGAGATTCATAATTACTAGGAAGTAACAAATGCCATTCCACTTTAAAGAAAGTGAGATAAGATTCAGAGTATCACAGGCCACTTAGCTTAACCTCTGTGGTTTCAGAACTACTAAAGCTGCCTGTGCAGGAAGCAGTGGAAAGCAACTTACAGACACAGGAGCTTAAAGATGACAACTGGGGCATTCAAACAAATCTCTCCTTTTCTTACAAATTTACCTGATGTTGTTTTGAAGATAATATAGTGACAAATGATAAAAGGAATAGAACTGATACATCTAGATTTCCAAGAGACATTTGATAAGGTGCTACAGAGATTCATTTAGGAGAAAACAGCTCATGGGAAAGTGATGGAATACAATATAACAGATTGTAAATGAAAAGTACTAGCCATGATCAGACATATATTTTAAGTGTAAGAAAAAGCATAGGGTGTACAGCTAGTTGTACACATGTGTGTACAGCGTGCAAGAAAATAGCATCTGATAAGCAAGCATTCCAACATAAATATATAATCCTTTCAGCACTGTTCAGCCAGGGGAAAAATGTGCTATATGAGAACAGGACAACTCAAAAGGAAAACAAAATTTTTAATGAGCTGTAGTAATATTTTCCTGTTTTCCCATCTGAACTATTGTTTAAGCAAAAATTGAAATGGAAAACAAGCATCTTTGCACTGAAACAATTTTCTGATTTAAATAGGCAAATTAAATAGTTTAATATTTTAAACAATTTTATATCATGGTTTTTATCTGAAAACAGGGATGGTAAAGTATCACAACTACAAACCATTTCTTAGTATCAATGGAAAAGCATTATATTTTTAACCCTGAAGCTGGAGTAACCTGAATCAACTGTACTAACATTCAAACCATAAAGCTCAGAGTTCTGGCCAACAAACCCATGACTTTTACAGGAAAATAAAAGCACATGGAAAGCGTCAGTCACATAGAATACTATTGCAGTTAATAGGCATCTGTTGATAAATTGGGGATGTGTATTTCCAATATAGAGACGACCTGGAACTCATGAAAAATTTTTTAGATTCTGCCAATTGATTGATTTAGGTTTAAACATTTGTGTGAAGCAGCTTGGGGTAGCACAGTAATAGCAACCCATCATGCCATTAGTGAATTGAAGAATTCTGACTAGTCAAGAGAAAAGATCTATATTGAACTTCAACCAATCAGGGAGCAGGACACCCTGAAAAAGTATACTGTACTTGCATAAATAAAAGGGTTTCTGACTGGATGAAACGTTGTACTTTTACACCTAAGAATAAATAATGGCCTGTCCTGAAGGAATCCAAATGACTAAAAAAAAAAAAAATATTCCAGTTGGTATAATAATCCATAGTTTTTTCAAAGCTATGGCATGTCCCCACTGGCCACATTTCAAAAGTATAAATCTAATGGAGCCCAAAAACACACTATTGCTGGCACTTGGTAGAAGAAAACTGCAAAGTGAATCTGTACTTTAAATATAAATCACTGACTTTTATACCTTTTAAAAACAGAAAGACTTCTCAGACATCTGTAGAATATATCACTGGGAATCTGCCCCTCCTTCCCTGGTCAAATATCAATTCCAACACAAAAATCTTTGTCCAAATAATGTTAAGTCTATAACACTACTGATTAAAAGACAGGAAATTCAAAGGTACTGGTGACACACTCCATCCCTAACCCACACTACTCGGAAAAAGAAGTGGTTCAGAGAAACAAGGAAACTCTGGAAAGAAGAGACTACAACAGGAACCTTTTCACATTTTTTACTCAAAGTGCAAAAAAGCTCCACTGTTATAAGAACCCTGTGCTACATTTGAACTGCTGAAGGTGTTAGTCTTGTAGGCTTAGTACAATCAAATAGAAAGAGTCCAGAAGAACAAAATATATCCAAGTATGACTATTGTTGTGGCTGACGCACAATAGTACATCTGTAAATAAGGACACTTAAGTGTCGATACACTTTGCAGAGTAACTAGAACAAGGGCATTGGGAGCTTCATGTTTATTCTCTCTCAGTGACTCATAATAATGTTGACCAGTTTACAGTACAAAAGGTTTGGGGGGGGGGAGAGGGGGTTATACCACAATTCTTTTAAATTTTTCTTGTGTTCTGAAATTGAGCTTTCTGACTCATACATTGTTAACAAAAGACTGGATATTTATATGGAAAATAAGAATATAACCAGACCCAACATTAAAGATTAGGAAAACCATGCATACATATACTCCACCAAGAGTTTTGGAAAAGATATAAACTGTCAAGCCTCAGAGCATAAATTCAGCCTCTCACTTAATTTGTGTTAAAGAAATTTATCCTGTAGGCAAGTTGTTCTATAATTGCCTCCTGAAGAGTATATCATACCTTCAACTGAAGTTGCTGGCAAGAACCAGCAATGGAGAAAAGATACTGGACTGGATTCAGCATTCATTCAAAATGGCAGGTCCCATGTTCCTAACTAAACTGTGATAGCAACATCTGGAACAATGTACAAGACGGAACAGAATCCATCTCCTAATACCCCATTGCTATGTATTACTAATATGAGTAAAAACATAAACTACACGTGTAGACACTCTGACTCCAAATACACACAGACACCAAAGTCTAATAAGTAATATGGTGCCACTTTTTAATAAATGGTTTGGTTGTGTCAAAAAAGGAGGTTCCAAAGTTAAAAAGATAGATATTTTTCAAGTGAGGTGCTGGAGAAGAAACTCTAAAAAGGGAGATCACAAGACTGCCTAGATATCTATTCTCTGTCTATGGCTTTCATACTGAGTAAGTCATAAGCTGATATTTCTAGCTGGCAGTAAAGCAGACTCCATTAGCAATTTGCAAGTCCAGCTGGGTTCTGTGTCTTACATCACCTTTTGTAACAAGTATTCCAGACTTGGAACTTAACAGACGCACAAGAAAATCCAGCTTCAACTCCCTTAGCTGTATTACTCTGAAAGGCTCATAGGGACAGAAAATAGGTTTGGTTTTCACTTGAAAAGCAAGCAAAGTATAAACAAAAAAAGCAAGTATAAAGCATAAGAACAAGATAATTTTATGCAGCATTTATGATCCAGCTAAAGTAGACTGATATTTCTTGAAGGATCTATTGAATTTCCATGAGCTCTAGAACACTTTTAAAGTGAAGGGTGCACTGCAGTCTCTCATTAACGTAATATAATGCTAGAGCAGCGATTCTCAACTTTTTTTAGACTCAAGGCACCCTTCATTTAAGCTCAATGGATTCCTCAAAAAATGCCAGGTCTTAGTATTCACTTGTTTTTCCACCATGGAAAAATTATACAGAATTTTTTCTGTTGCGAAGAACTCAAGAAAGACAACAAATCAAAATGCTTTTAATGTTATGGATGTGTATTTGAAATCTCTGGGTTTGTCTTGTGACTCATGTTTGCATATCTAACAATGCTAACATTGCTTGAAAGAATCTCAAAGCAGCCTAGGGTGCTGCGGCACCTTGTGAGAATCACTGTGCTAGTGAGACAGATCCCTACTTGTAATTAGCATAGTTTCAGTCAAGGATCAGCTGAGGATCTGCTCTCACATACCAATATTACAGTGCCAGGTAGTTACTGAATACATACTATTATCTCACCTGAATTGTAGTAAAGGTCAGGTCTTTCTAAAATATCCCCTTCATGGATGTAGGGCTCAATACGGTCATCCCCATACAAGTACTGCTCGCTATCATCCATCTGCCGACTCTCCACCATCTCCAGCCACTGAGAATTGTGCCATCGGAATTTCTCACTCTGAATCTTCTTAGCCCATTCTTCATCATATTCCTGTTAAAAATGCCATTAAGGTTTTGAGGTCACACACGGGAAATCTATTTGGTTTTTGTGGATAAATGCAAGAGAATTTTTGTCTGGGGAAAGATGCAAGTTTGATGGCCTCGAAGACCAAAATCCTCTATTTCATTATACAGTGCTTTGAACAGGTAAAATATGTTGTAAGGACTGAACAGTATTATTTTATTTACCCAATAACAGAAGTTTACCTCATGGCTCCTGAACACTAGGGAGGAGGGAGAGAGTTCCATTTCCAGCCTTAATGGACATGTGAACAAACAGCCAATTACCGCTCATCTTAAATGGAATTTTGCAATTGTTTTATATATATGTATGTGCGTATGTATAAAAATATATACACACGCGGAAAATTTATACATTTGTTATCATTTTCCAAGTCTAGAATCTAATTTTTTGTGGGTCATCTTAAATTTGTCCCTATCATTGCTCTGTGCTTCCTCCCCCTGGCCAGAGCAGGGCCCTGACTGGAGCTGGAGCTACAAGGGGAAGGCAAATGGCAGCAGCAGGGGAAGGGTAGGTGGGGAGCAGACGGGGGCAGGGCAGGGGCAGTGGCTGTGGCTCAGCTGAGGCCACCACTCCTGCCCTTTGTATTTAAATCTAAGACTACAGGCTTTCCCCCCACCTCCACACTGAATGTGGGGGGAAACCTTGTCTTTGATTCGAGGAAATACAGTGTTGGGTCAGTAACTACAATGGTGACTGGAGCCAGTTACTGTACTAAGAAACAGAAAAGCTCAAAAGATTGTGATAAAATTTACCAATATTTATTTTGCTCCACAAAATTTCATCAATTGATGTTTTGGTTAGACTCTAAGGAGATGCAACTCAAGTTCAAAACTTCAAGTTGCATTGTATCTTTGTACAATCACTTCCTATTATTTAGTACCATGAAATGTAATGCGACACTAGAAGATAAACCCAAGACACAAAATATGGGTCCAAAAGCAAACTTTTTCAGTGTTTTGGATGAATCTGTATCTAGGATTTTGGTTTAGCCATTTATGGAAATGAAGGGCAGGTATGAAATCTAGAATCAACCAAAACTCTTTCAAAGTTTGGAGAGTTCTGATCATGAGTTAAGATGTATCTCTGGATTACAGAACAGAAAACAGAAAAGCTTAATTTCTCACTACTTCTATGATTCCCAAAACTGGATCTATAATAGCATCAGAAAGACGTGGCATAACTGCGAGACAGATTTGATGCAGACTCTAAGCTGGTACAAAACTGTATACATCTTTCCCTATAGTAAAATGCAAAATTTACAATGCAATTTGAATATCAATGTGTTTGTGGTCACTTTTCAGTGGTGAGCCACATTTAATCTTCCTAATGCCAATAGAAAAAGAGGTTTCAAGCTTCTAGCCTCATGAAACACCTTTGGGCATTACCAGAGCCAACTACCACATCTGTGGACAGATATAAAGCACAGAGTAAATGATAAGCAGTTGTTAATATCCATTTTCTTGGGGACTGTAAACTGGAGCACAGATTTGCCAATAGAAAATAAAATACTACACAACGCCAATTTTTCTCCAAATGGAGAAACAAATCCCAAGAGGCCTTCTTCACATCCTATTGGTATGCCTACAGTACTAAGAAAAAAAAGTTTGTTAAATGAATTTGGCTAACTCAGGATAAAACAGTGGTGAAAATGAGACACTAACTCAAATGACCTTAAGTTAAACATCTGGTTGCCCATAAGATTGAATTCAAGCAAGCTGTTAAACCAACCTAATCTCCAAATTATTTCACACACACTGGTATTAACCTAGGTTAGCTCTCACTTCCTGGGCCTGATTCACTATCCTCAGTAGCTACGGGGTCAGTCCCTAAGAGCAGGATTCAAATTACAATTTGACTCTTGGGGGGGGAGGGGGCATCCTGCAAAAACAAGTTGGCCAGGGTTAGGGCTGTGCACACAGGTCCCCACCAGTACTGCAGGGCTGGGGCCAGCCAGAAGGAGCCGCCACCGCCTGGGCTGCTTAGAAAGGTGAGGGGCAGGCCCAAGGTTCTGAGTGCTGGTGCACGGGCTCTGGGCTGTTGTGGCGGCGGGGGGGGGGAAGGATTGCTGACCAGCCTGTGGGGTGGTTCTCATTTCTTATGGGGGGGGGGGGGGGGCACA